AATAATTTTATTATTATCATTACGTTATGTTTTGTACTTTGAATTAAAATACATAAATAAAAATTGGTTATTTTGGAGAACTTATAAAAATAAGATGAAAACGCCTTATGAACAATGTTTTAAGTTATTTTCATAAGTTATCTTAAACAAATAATCTCACAAAACTTATGTTAATAGGTAAGTTAAAATAAGTCAATATAAACAAATTTTTAGTCTCACTGATTTTTTAGTTTGTTAGTCTATTTAAAATAACAGGCTTTTATGTAGGCTAACAGACTAACAAGGCCTTAGAAAAGGCCATACTCAGACTTAAAAATAACCCTATGACAGGGTATAAGCCATACTTATGCTTCAATTTTTTTGGCAGGCCAGGGTTAGACTTGGCAAAGCCTAGCTCGACCCAGCCTATTTTCACCCCTAATGTCAAGCTCTGACGAGACCCATGTCAAGCCCCGAAGACTGAATTTCACCCTTGATAGAGGGCTCGATGGAGGTCCCGCCTAAAAGGTTAAACGCCTCGCCTGAGGGACTTAATGTCTCATTACCCGGGATATACATTAGTATGCCTAGAGAACTTAGACTCTTCAAGCTAACTAAATTTTTTCTGAGGTACCTAGTGTCTTCTCAGGTGAGATCTTATCAAATAAGTCACTCCTAAAAAGGGCTCTATAGAGGTCTCGACTAAAAGGTTAAATGCCTCGCCAGACAGGAGTTACTGCTTCATCGGTTAGACTTCATATTACATAACCTATGAGACTAAGATTACTAGATTATATAACTCCTTGCCTTAGAGACTTAGAGTTTCCTAGAGCGGGATTAAAACATATAAATCTCACCTAAGAGGCGTGGCCAATATCCAACCCCGGAGACTTGATCACAAGTCTTGTTTGAGGGCTCGATGGAAGTCACGCCTGAGAGGTTAAACACCTTGCCTAAGAGACTTAGACTTTCCTAGGGGAGGATCCAACACACAGCCTCGTCCAAGAGACTTTGAGTCTCATCAGTCAGGCTTAATGCATAATCTTGCTTGAGGGACTCAACATAAAATTTTATTTAAAGGACTTGACACAAAGTCTCTTCTGAGGGACTCGACATAAAGTCTCGCTTGAGGGACTCGACGTAAATTCTCACCTGAGGGACTTGACATAAAATTTAGCCAAAGGGAATCGACATAAATTCTCTCCCGAGGGACTCGACATAAAGTCTCGCTTAAAAGAATCTACATAAAATCTCACCTAAAGGACTCGACTAGTAGTCTCATCAGATATGGTCGTTTGAGTGCATCGCTTATATGCCTAAGCTCTCCTTATGCAAAGTCTATTAAACACTTCATTTTTACCAAGCCCTCGTGCATGAGGGACTATGTGTGAGTGAATCTTTCCTTTTAGTTATGTTTTGAATGATGACAAAACTAGGAGAAATTTTAGCGTTTTTGTACATTGGATGGTATCAACCAAATTCTAGATGTGCATTGATAATCTTATATTAGGGTGTATATAAATATGTTTGGAAATGATTGGAAATGTCTTAGACATGCTTCATGCATCAAAATTGAGTTTTTAGTGTGAAAAATGTTGAATAGACCAACACACACGCGCTCAGGTCGACATATAAAAGCTTTTGCTTCAGTGTAGGTCGACACATAGCTTGCTTAGGTCGACCTCCATGCCTCAATAACAAAGGTTGTAGCCACTTCCCATAGGTCGTCTTAAATAGGCCGACCTAAAACCTTTATAGGTCGACCTATTGCTTTCATATGCCGTCCTATTGCCTTCAAAACTTAAAATTTGCTTATTCTTTCAATTTTTCATGCATGCCCATTGCTTCATATCTATCATACATATATATACTCGTACATGCATCATTTTCTAGTAAGGTTCTAGTGTAAAACCTATATGAAACCAGAATTTCAAAGATACTCATCATCTTCAACCTCTCTTATACGCATACACACAATCAAACTACCCATAATCATTTTTTGATTGGGTGACCATTTAGATGAGGGTTGATAACATTTAATTAGGCTAATGTACCGAGAATATTGGGTTGATTTCTTTGAATGTTTTAAATAAGAAAACCAAGTTGCGGTTTTCCTTCAAGATCATTGATGATTTGAAGGTTTTGGACAAGATTACGCAAATACAGATCTGATCGAGCGAAGGTCTTGGGACAAGGTAGTTTTCTCGTAAGGGAGTAGCGTGAGACGGTGGATCGTGTTCGTAAATATTGGGTTCAACAAGTGCATCCTTGAGATTGATCCGACTGATGAAAACCTTGAGACGGGAGGTCTTGCAAGGTAGTAACAAGAACTGGTGAGTTGAAGCAGCATTGTTGGTGACTTGATCAAACTTTGATCAAGGGTTTTGGAGGTGGTAGAATCAACAACAAACCATAAGATTTGTAGGGTTAAAGTTCTTTATCTCTTGTATATACATTGCAAAGTAAGGTTAGTTGTAAGTATCTCAATTCGATTTCGAATTGAGGGCACACATATCCATAGCGAGACCGATTTGGGATCTGCTTAAACAAATCCCTGTCTCTCTCTCTCTCTCTCTCTTTATATAATTTTTTTGTATTTGTAAACTATCGAACTTATTGTTGTTTTGATCAATTCATTTGCAAATCAAAATTTGATTACATTTGAGTTAAGGTTGGTAGATATAATCATAATCACTTTGATCGTGATTGACTTTAAGACCAACAAAATAAACTAAATTTCCAAACGTTATCGATTGCACACAAAGTGTTCGATAAATTGCCTTTAGTGCTTTTAATAGGTTTTTGATAATTGAAAATAAGATTTACGTGTAGCTTAGCATTTAATTGTTTGTGATTAATCGTTATTGAACAATTTGTGTTTATTATCATTTAATTGTGAAATTTTACGCATATCCGAGCTTTTCGATAGTAAGTTCGGTTAGACGATTCGATTCGGGTTGTTTTCGTTGTGCCATAAAACTTTTGAAAATCATTTTTTTCCAAAAGTTTAAATTTTAAATTTGTGATATATTCACTCTCCCTCTAGATTGAAGTCTATCGTCTAACACTATATAGTGTTATATTTTTAATGGGAATCAATAAGGGGTAGCTTAAGTAAAAATAGGGAAGGTGACCAAGGGGGCGAGGCACATGGTGAAGCCATCGACCACCCAAAATGGGCCATGAGGCCGCCCATATCTCAATAACCGCCCTTTCGGTTGGGCTTAGTCCATCCAGATTCTTTCCCACTTGCCCAGTAAACGTGGAAGGTGATGTGTCCCGTGATAACAAACTAGAGGAACTTGTCAAAGGAGGAATAACTCATTTATCCTCATGATTTAGTAGTGGAGAAAAAATAATTCCTCCCATTCCGGGCTCATTGTCCTCTATAAATACTTCTTTCTTAGGGAGAAGGAAGACAGATTGTCAAGTCATACACATTCTCCACTACTCAAAGAGCATTACGCTCCTAGTAGTAGTAATATACCATCGACCTAACTGCTGGCCTACAACCCAACAACGCCACCCACTAATATGACCTCTCATCTCACATGCCCGTAAACAACCTTAAAAATTACTGCAAAGGGCTTCTCGCCGACGTGAGCAAACCTTCACTACCCAAATTGTAATACACATATTAAGGTCTCTGAGTCTCTCCTACCCCTTGTAGAGGGAACACACACCATATACTTTTTGACTTGTAGAAGACCATACAATTTTTTTAAAATTTGTTTTTATTAATTTCTTAAAAGAGATATTAGTAAATAAATTATCCTAATCATTATTAATTGAAAATATAATTAATTTATTAATTAAAAATATTAATAAATAAATTATCTTAGTCAATATTGTCATCTCATTAAAAATAATTTTTGTTATCATATAATTATTACTGTGTCACACATATAAAAGTGGAAGAAATAAGTAAAATTCTAAGAGAAGTAAAATTGATAGATCAAAAAACTGCTTTTTAAAATAATGGAACCAAAAAATTAAAAATATTTGAATTAAAAAACAAAAAGTGCATTTAAATCTTTTTTTTTCTTTGTCAATGTATTTTTTTAAAAAGGAAAAGCTTTTTCATTGTATTTGACTAGATATTTATTAATATTGTTTTGATATATTAAAAATTGAAAATGATTTTGGATGAAAACTTTATAAAATCAAATTTTAATGAATTACATAATATTTCAGAAATAATAAATAATATGATAAAATTAGTTAAGTTTTAAAACATAAATTTTTTAATATGTATACTATCCTTTAAGTTAAAAATGTTTTATTTTCATTTCTGTATTTTATTTTTTTAAATAATATTTAAATGCTAACTTTTTTATTCGTCCGAGCTCTGCACTAAAATTCATAATTAAAAAATGTTAAAGTGAATATTAATGTTAGAGATGAATATGCTTTTTCTTTTAATTTAGAAATTATTTAAAAAAAATCATAACACTTCTATTTTTAATTTAAAAATTTAAATCAAATTATACTAAAACTATCGATATCAAACTTAAAGTTATGAATATTAAGAATTTAAAAAAAAAATTATATTTTTAGAAATAAACTATTTTGAATCATTTAAAAAAAAACTTTTTAATGAATAATAAACCAAAATATATTCTAAGAATCACGAATAAAACAATTCCCACATGATTGTTTGTGTGACCAACAAACAAAACCAATGTCTTAATCATATTGTAATTGGTATCTCATTTTTTGATTCAAAATAGGATGAACTAGGAACCAAATCAAACAACCAACCGCGAAATCCTTCTTCGTTATTCCAATTTCCCACCAATTACTTCCTTTTTATATTCAGATTCAGGTAACCAAACATCTCTTCTATGATCTTCCTATCTTGGTTTCCCATGAAATCAACGAACCAATCAACATAAATCGTTTAATTGTTTTATTTTTTTTGTTAGAATTGTTGCTGCTGCTATAAAGTTTCTGTGATCATCGATTTGGAATTGTTGGAGGAATTTGGGGATTTCAGAAAAAGCTTGATTTTTTGGTATCAAATGGCCGCGGTGGCGGCTTGCAGGCGATTAGGGAAAATAGGAACCAATTTTCCCCTTCCATTGACTGGGTTTGGTGGCTTTGGAATCGGAGCTTCCAAATTTTCCCCTTACATTTTTGGTTCTATGCATTATTCTCAATTTATTAAATCAAAGGGAAAACAGTTATTTCTTGTTGACACATTAGCCCTTGTAATTTACATTCCTTTTCATTTTCCCTTTCATGTTCTTATTTCAATGTTTTAAAAACCAAACCGGATGAACAAACATGACATATAAACGGTTCGGTTTTTAAAACACTGGCTTATTCCGTTGTTGTAGTTATGGAGAAAGGAGTAACTTTGCACCCTTTGTTGTTGTGTAGGTTAAGAAACTTGAGGCGCAAGGAGTGCCTTCAATGCAAGCTGAGGCAATAACTGCTGCTATAACTGAGGTGTTGAATGATAGTTTGGAAAATGTCTCTCAATCATTGGTATCAAATGAAGAAATGGAGAGGGTAATGCCTTTTTAGACCTATTTTACGTTCCTTCTGCTACTATACAATGAATGTGTGATTTGTGTTGTGTTTAGGGCTGAAAATGAGTTGAGTCGAGTTGAACTCAGTCCGGCTCAACTCGTTAAGAATTGGTTCGAGTTCGACACAAACTTTTTTTTAAGCTCAAACTCGACTCGTTATAAGTTCACAAACAGTTCGGTTCAACTCGTTAGATTCATCTCATTAGGTTCACCTCACATGATTCACATACTTAAAAACTATTTTTTTAAATATATATATATATATATATATATATATATATATATATATATATATATATATATATATATATATATATTTTAGTATGTATGACATTTTAAATAAATATATTTTTTAAAAATAAAATATTAAAATAAAATAAAAGTTATCATATTGAAATTTAACTTTATCTTTGAAATCTATGAATTCAAAACTTACACAACTTTCATGAGATACATTTGAGAGTCTAATTCAAAAACTACTAAATTGAAGATTAAATTTGTCTAAGATTTGGAGTAAATATTTAAACCTAATTTTAAAGACAGTAAAATTCTTCTCATATGTAATCGAGTTGACTCATGAACCTAACGAGTCGAACTATGTATAGTTCAAGTTCAGCTCATTTAGTTAACGAACTTAATTTTCGTTCATACTCAACTCATTTGGTTCATGAACCTAGTTCAACGATTTAATTGTCGAATTGAATTCCGAACTATTTTCGAGTTGGTTCGGTTCATTGGTAGCCCTAGTTGTGTTGCTCTATTTCATGTTTTGTTGCTTGTAGAATAGTGATACAAAAGTTATGTACTGATATGAGCTGTTTTGGTTTTTGCTTTATTCTTTAGACTGAGATGCTTCAAGAAGCCAATCTTTCCAAATTCAAAGCAGAAGTGCAGAGCTCACAGGTACTTTCTCTGGTCTTGATTATAGGCAAAACTAACTAGTTACACACTTAAACATATTACATATTAAGAATAGCAGCCAACCTCATTTCATTTTCTTGGCGTGATAAAAAAATACTAGTATGTCACAAACAACCCTTTTTTATAGTATTTAACAACATTGGTTTTAAGAATTAAAGCCTTTTATTAAGGTAAAGGTTGTTAGGTTTTGCTTATATTTTGGAGTTTGGACCACCAAATATGACATTTTTTGTGATATTTGAGACTGGAGTAATATTCATTAGTTGAGAATTACTGATATATGTGGACTCTGGTGACTTGGGTGCATGTGGATAAGATGAGATTAATCTTCGGTAGTTCTTAAAATTTGGGGCTTGGGTCTAACTCAATCTTACAAAACCAGCTTGTAACTTAAACATATTTTCAAGTCATATCTCATCCAATGTTAGACTCTTTAACACCTCCTCATGGCTAACACAATCGGACTTGGTGCGCTGATATAAATAGTAGTTGTGTTGGTGATTTTAGTATCATCAATGTATTTTAGTAATAATGAGATTTACTGTAGGCCGATGCAATTATACGTTAAGCTTGAAAACGAGTTAGGGTAGTGCGGAGTGCACGCTCGTCAAGGCAACGTGCAATTGAATGTGAATAATTGAAAAGGGGTTCCAAGGGGCGAAGCCCCTGGCGGGGTGCGGGGCAGCGCCCCGTGGGGTTCCAAGGGGCAGAGCACCTGACTGGGGTCTCGCTGCCAGGTCAGCGGGCAGGGTGCGGGGCAGCGCTCCGAGCAAAAATTTTTCTGAAAGTTTTCTGAACCCGTTCGAAATTTTGAACTCGTTCGAAATTAAATTTGAAAAGATGAACCCGTTTAAAAATTTTGAACAGATGTCCCTTTTCGTTTTCTGTTATTTAATCTCCTATATAAGGAGTCATTTGGCCTCAGTTTTACACACTGAACAAAATTCATATTTCTTTCTACATTCTTGATCTGTTTTCTATTGCCAGAATCAGATTGTTCTTCAAAGAATTATCCCCACAAAGATTTCGTGAACCCAGACAAATAATAGGGTCGAAATACTTTGTTCGGAAAGTGTACGAACACGATTCCTCGAAGATATCCAAGATTATCACACCAAATTTTCTAACAAGTTGATCCGATAACAAAAACCTAATAGCATGCGGTCTAATGGATCTTACATAGACTTCGATACCATCTTAAGAATTTGGGTTGGACCTAACTCAACCTTACATAACCAGCCTGTAAGGTGAAGATTGCCTCCACTTATAAATATATTTTCAGGCCATATTTGATTTGATGTGAGACTCTTTAACATGAGTAAAATTTTATACGTTGAATGAAGGACTTGTGTGCAAATATATATGAACTACACAAATTATAACAAAAAACCTTAATAGATCTACTTGTTTTCTATATAAGCAAAGAGTACAATAACAATCAAGCCTAATCCCAATAAGTAGAGTCGGCTACATGGATAATCCAACCCTTTTACAATTTAATTCCTGCATCGGACACAGAAATAGAAGAGATTGGATCTTTACACCAATTAGAAAAAGATAACCAAAAATACATTCTAACTTTGATCAAGTCCAAAATGGCAAGAAGCTGTGTTAGTTTCCTCTCTCACATTCTAATATTTAATACTTAACAGTTAACTCTAATTGTGTCATTCTCTTCTCTCACATTCTCATCATCAAGAGACTACAAAACGGAACTTTCTATTATGTTCTGACTCTTCATCTCTTTACTCTAGACTATCGAGGCTTCACAGTTCCTCAATAACCAAATACATACTACAGCTTGCCAAATGCAATAAAAGGATCTACTTGATTTTTTACTGTAACTAGCTGGCCAAACTGAGAGTATATATATGGAAGTCAGAACAAGAAAGAAGTAAATGATTAATATCCTCTTCGCTAGAATACGCAAAAAGCCCTTGTAGAATTAACAACAACTCCTCTCTTAAGAGAAAGCAGAAAGCAGCCCCTGTGGGTAAGCTGTCCAAAATCAAATACCAATAAAGTACTTTCAAAGATGACAAACGTTTCCAGAAAATTTGAAAATAGCATCAGCAGAAACCAAAGAGAACAACACTTTGCAATGATTTTGAAAAACACATAAGCAGAACGGACAAAATATATTTTTAACCTATACTCCTTCCAAAGCTATTAGTACTGGCAACAACCAGCATGCTTGGTTCACTGAACAAGTCATTTTCCCATACAAGAAAGGGTCTTTTACACATCCAAGACCAACACACTACATCAATCTTCCACGCTCCCATGTCAATAATGAAGGCCTCCTTATCTTTAGATAGTCGGAAAAATCTTGGAAACAAAGATTGCAAGCTACACGTGCCAAGCCAAGTATCCGTCAAGAGTTTAATACTATTCCCACATCTATGTTTGTTTGTTACAGTTGAGGAAAAGCAAAGAAAGGGGACACTAAAAGCGTTCAATTTGAACTAGATTTTTCCACCAAGTTGAGGCTTCCGTGTGTCATGCTTCTTTTGTTATGATTAGATAAATGCAAGTAGACATTCTTTGCCATTTTGTACAGCAATAGACCATTTTAATTCTGTTGTTTGGGTGAGTTCTTTGAATATAATTAGCTCATTTTGTAAAGCCAATTTTTTTAGTGTAGCACTTAGTTACGGTTGAGAAATGTGGTTGAGCCCAACTCAATCCTACAAAACCGGCTTATAGGGTGAAGATTGCCCCCACTTATAAGCACATGTTCAGACCCTATACTATCCGCTATGGGACTCTTAACAGTTACCTTCACCCTTTCCCTATCTTTTAATATTTTGACTTTAAAAAAATCTTTCTTTTCTTTCCTTCCCTTTTCTTTTATTGTACTTCTTTTCTTTCCTTCCCTTTTCTTTTATTGTACGGCTGCGCTTGTATTACTTGTTGTCATGATGTTGTACTGGCATGCATAGTCTTTCCTGGATCGGTGTACCTTATGATATAGATATTGGTAATGCATAAGATAAGGGCAAAGAGTGATATAAACTCTCAAGGCAAGTATGCTTATATCTGCTATTTGTAAAACCAGATTGTACGAAAAGAGATGATTTTAGATGTGTGTGTTAACATATATATATATATATATATATATATATATATATATATATATATATATATATATATATATATATATATATATATATATATATATATATATATATATATATATATATATATATATATATATATATATATATATATATCAGTTATTCGAATGGTTCTCCTCGGTCTTTAGAATTTGATCAGTTAAACTGCATTTACTTATCATATTTATTATTAAAAAAGACACTTCCTTTGAAAAGTTTACCTGTGATCGTCAAACTAAATCTAATGTGCGAATGTGTTATAGAAACTAGTGTGATTATTGAAACAATCCTGTAATAGAATACATATATATTCTATTAAATAAGTTTGGTCGATATTAGTTGCAATATTTAGGATATCTGATCCATCTTTCTACTGGAATTACTGTTTCCTTTTTCTATTGTTCTTCATTCCTTGTTTTCCTCTGTTTGTCCTCATATTTCCCCTCAGTTTATAATTGAAATGAGGTTGACGTTTGTTTGCCTGATATGAAAATATTACAATGTAGGGACACCATTTTTCTCTACTTCAACTCGAGACTGAGAAGCTTAGAAATGATATAGAGAAGATGCGTAGTGAATTGAGGTCTTTTTCTTGTTTATCGTGATTTCATTGATTATGCTTAATCAACCACTATTTTCATTTATCAAGTTATAATCTTTATGCTGCATTGTTCTGGGTTGCGGTGTAGGTATGAGATAGATAAAGTAACGGCTGGACAGCGGTTGGATTTAAACCTTGAAAGAGGGTAAGAATTTCGAATAAAAAACCCATTATCGAGCATTACAGAACTCATGTTTCATGCAATATCATATTTCCCACCACGATTCTTGATGTTTTTGTTTAAGTGCAGGAGAATAAGGGAGGAGCTAACCAATCAGAATGCTGAAACTAACAACCTGACTAACAAACTTGATAGAGTAAGCAAAATAGCAAACAGTAGTAGTTTTCAAGTTCTTATTGTTCCATGTCATTTCGATTTTCTTAATATTATTAATACAATGTTCAGGAGATCCATGCTTTAAGGGCTCAGCTAGAAGCAGCCAAATATGATGTGATAAAATACTGCATAGGAACACTTGTTTCAATATCCGCCGTTGGCCTCGCCGTTCTTCGTATCTTGATGTAAAACAGAATGTATTCAGATTAACACTGACAACAAAATTAAGGTGAAGATAACTAGAGCAACTGTTTGGAAGATGTATGTTCTGTAAAGAAACAATTGCATTGCAGTGCTGGTGGAGTGGAGCTGAAGTAGTTTCCATTAGTCATCAAATGGGCCATTTTTTTCAAAAGCCCTTATTGTTTACAAATTCTTTTGTTGATTTACTTGTCCTTTTTTCTTGTACAATTTGTACCTAAACATATAATTAATGAGCATAATTACACACATTGGATTTGTCTGTACATGTTATTTTTACTGCATCAGTTGTTGCTCTCTTCAAAAGTACCAGCATGACACATTTGTATATGGGAGTGTTTTTTTAACATTAGATGTTCAAATACTATTTGTTGAAAACAAATACTTTATCACACATTTATGATTTTAGTAGAAATGTGTGAATCTATTTGTTGAAAACCAAGGGCGAGGCTTTATAAAGCTTTTAAGTAGTGGAAGGTAATGGTGGAAAATCAATGCAGTAAGAGGATTAAGAACCTGAGAACTGACAATGGTTTAGAGTACCTCGGTGATATGTTTAATGAATTTTGCAAATATCATCGTATTAGAAGGCATAAGATAGTAAAAGAAACTTCACAATAAAATGGATTGGATGAACTAATGAACTATACAATTAAATGCAAAACTTTCCCCTCAATTTGGGGGTGAAGTTCACACATCTTGTTACTTGGTAAAGAATACCATCAACAACAAACACCATAAGAATTTTGATTAAATAAACTGAGTGAATTATAGTCACTCGAACCTAGAAGGCATTTAATATCAGGTTGAGCTTCAATCTATTTTGGTTTTAATTTAAGAGATTTTATCACGAGTTGATCTTCAACCTAAACTAGGATTGAATCACACAATTTCAAATCAATTTTTTTTTGCAGGTATAGTTTCTAATTCAAACAAATTCTTTAAATGGATAATATTCAACCAAGATGTATACAAAAGATTCCTTTAGTGAATTTACATTCACTACTACGAAAAAATACATGTAACTTTGGACGTAAAATTGATTTAACCTCGGCTACATAGACGAGATAACGTCGTGAAAAGCCGCCACTTTACCCCTCGATTTTGAATAACCGAGAGGATAATTTAAATGATCATTGATTTGATCCCCAACAATAACTTTTTTATATTTTTAAAACACACCATATAACTCTTGGTTTATTAACAAAACCTAGAGGATATATATATATATATATATATATATATATATATATATATATATATATATATATATATATATATATATATATATATATATATATATATATATATATATATATATATATATATATATATATACACACACACACACACACACCGGTCACTATTATAGGCAAATATTCTCTTTTCATATTCATTCAATAACCGATATATATGGTCTACATAGAAATCAAATACATTTGTTATTCAATGAATCTAAAAAAAGAATTTTTACTTATAATAGTGACCAGACGGAATGTATGTGTGTGTGTCTATATATATATATATATATATATATATATATATATATATATATATATATATATATATATATATATATATATATATATATATATATATATATATATATATATATATATATATATATATATATATATATATATATATATATATATATATATATATATATATATATATATATATATATATATATATATATATATATATATATATATATATATATATATATATATATATATACATTTGTTATTCAATGAATCTAAAAAAAGAATTTTTACTTATAATAGTGACCAGACGGAATGTATGTGTGTGTGTCTATATATATATATATATATATATATATATATATATATATATATATATATATATATATATATATATATATATATATATATATATATATATATATATATATATATATATATATATATATATATATATATATATATATATATATATATATATATATATATATATATATATATATATATATATATTCATTTTTCATTACATTGTTTACACAGAATATTATATTTGTTCTTCAACGTTGTCGGTAAAGAACAAATGCTAGATATTTCAGGGAAGAACAAATGTTAGGGATACTCGTTTCATTGATTTTGAAGAAGATCAAATGTTTGATATAAAACAAAAAAAGTTAAATAAATAAAATAAACATTCAATTATATGATAATTTAAGAACACAAACCTTGAACCCAAATAATTTCTACTCTTACAATCCATCATAGAGAAATTTTATCAGATAAAATTACACTTTTTAAGTTTCAAAGTTTTTATGTCAAATATTTCATTATCAAATTTTAATATTCATAATACTTTTATAACGAGAATTTTACGTTTCACGCGGATCACTAATGACAGTGTGTTGAGCGTTGATACTCATTAAATAGACAATAAAGATTTGTTTAAGGACGGTGAAGAAACTGAATAAACACGCTTATATTTTACCTTGATTATTGCTCAAAATCGAGGTAAAATGTATTTCTTTTTAGGTAAAAAATACAATAAAACATATTTCATCTCAAGCGCCACATACCTCTCGGTTTCTACAAAAAATCGAGGAGAATTTTTTTTTAAAATTAAATTGTTTACACAAAATATTAGAATATATTATTTAAACAAATTCAAATTTTGACAATAGATTCTTGGAGAACAACCAATCTTTTCAAATTTCTGATAAGTTATCTGTTTCAACAAAGATAATTTTTTTCATGTACTTGCAATCCATCCCAAAGATATTTTATTATCTTGAGCAAATATTTTTATAGCAAATGTTTTCACATGAAAGAGAACAAAATGATTGTATTTAGGAATAAATTTCTCAATGTTGTCAACCGAGGAAAACAATAAATTTTCAATGTTTTCTTTAATTGGCAACACAAGACCAAAAAAAAATATTTTGTTCAAAATAGAAGAACACTCGAGATAATTTCTATTTTGCAATCCATCTCAAAGAATGATGTGTACAAGTTTGACATGACTACATATAATAAGTTAGGTTTAGAGTACAATCTCATTAACGAGAGATTTTATAGTAAAATATAATAATCTAATTTCTTGGTTATTAAATATAATAGAAAGAATAAATTATTAATTTAAAAATAAAAATGAATAAGAAGAAAGATACCACTTTTAAAGAAATAAAAGCATAAATTGTTGTTAGGATTCAAAGCATGTCCTGAATTATTTTTTCCCCTCGGTTATATTTAGAAACCCAAGGAATAATGTGGTATTTATTAAAAAATAAAATAAAACATGAGACACTTTGACCTTTTACCTCGATTTTTAGTTGAATGAGGAGAAAATTTTGTCATGAAATATATTATTTGTAGTAGTGAATTCTAATCTTTCCAACATTAGAATTATATACTCACTCACAAAAGGACTTTTCTCAAAAAAACACATAGGCTAAAACATTAGTGAGAGAAAGTTAAATAAAACTTGAGAGAGAGATTAGTTGAATGAGGAGAAAACTTTGTCATGAAATATATTATTTGTAGTAGTGAATTCTAATCTTTCCAACATTACAATTATATACTCACTCACAAAAGACTTTTCTCAAAAAAACACATAGGCTAAAACATTAGTGAGAGAAAGTTAAATAAAACTTGAGAGAGAGAGAGAGAGAGGTGTCAAAATACATTATTAGATGATATAAAATGAGAAAAGAGACATGTATTTATAGGCTAGAGGTTGACTCAAAAAGGAAATTCTAATAAAAGTTTTTTATGACATTTTAATTGATTGACACATATTCACCATCGATTAGAAGTTTAAAATACAACTGATTGTAAGTTTATAAAAGGAAGAAAAATATATCTAGCCGTTTTACATCATTAAGGTGATGTCTTAATCGACTGTGGCTCAATTTTGAATTAAACTAATCGATTAGAAAAATGTCCCAATCGATTAGATAAGTCAAAATTTTGCCTATAGCTATTTTGACAGTTGCTAATTCATCTGGCAGAACTTTAAGATATTTTTAAAAGTATTTTCTTTGGTAAAAATATTTTAAAAATATTTTAGTGTGCGCACGCTTTAGCCATGCACTTTTATGATAAAGTCCTTATGCTTTTACAATAGGTTTACTCACTACTAAATTAAGAGGATCCTAAGTACTTTAAGACTTGACATATGCTTTCTCTTTTGTGACTCTGGCTTGAGTAACTTGAGATGAGGCCTTCGATAATATTCCATTGGATTTCCATCATCAGATAGTCAAGTCCATCAAACCCTAATAATAAGGTTTGCATCTTTATCCTATTAACTATGCATGCTTGACTTATCACAAGACATTAATTTTTATCATCAAAAGTTGATGTCCTTGTTAAAAGCATATCACCTGTAAAATAAGGTTTCACATTCGTTTCAAGATAGGGTATACAACACATTGGAAAGGAGCTGAAAAGGATAAAATTCATTGCTTATGATAAAGCTGCATATGGTTGCTTCATTAGAACAACACATGGGTTACCTTGTGTGTGTGAACCTATTCCGTTAGAATCAATTCATGTGTTTTGGAAGAAATTATACATTCAAGAGTATGAGATCACTCATGAAGATAGTGGGACACCGTTAGATTTAGAAGAAAAGTGTAAAGAGTTGAAGAGGTATTTCAATGAATTGGATATTGTAGGCCATAGGGTGATGAAGAACAAAGTTCGGGAACTAACACATTTATCCACAACTTCCATGTATCCGCCACTAGTGAAATTCAAGCCAAATATGAGAAATAAGAAGAGTAAAAAGAGTTAAGAGAGTGATGTGTATCATGATCCTTCATAGTGGGAGTATGTTGAGGGATCGGAGGGAAGCCAAACTACAAAGAGATAATGTACAAAATCAATTGAAAGTCAATTGTGTAGCCATTCTTCAAAACGACAATACTTATTTTACTTTATTGTTTTCTTACATCAGTACATTGATGACATTGTTGACATGGATAAAGATGAAAATTGTAGTTTTTGTTT